AAACACCTTCATTGTATTTGCATATCTGTTCAATTAGAAATTACCTTAGGTTATTATGTAATTTATCCATGCATGCTATTTATTCACTTACCCTTGTAGGTGATGGAATATGATTTAAAAATAGTAATACAATATATTTTTATTATTTTGTCATTTCAGAAAATGTAGTAGTTTAAAATTATCCTGTATTTTTTCTATTTCACAAAGAGATTATGATACTTGCAGCCATTATATAAAATACAATGTGAGGTTTGCAATATACTGTGATTATTTCTTCTTCTCTACTTTCTTTGTAAATGACTCAGATATGCTACCATAAGGTGCTTTTAGAACCTTGTAAGTGGAGTGAATTATCTGATTTTTAAAACGGGTTTAACAGAGAAACCTGGATTTTCTACTTTCCACACTTGGTCTGGTGAGTGTATATTTATAGATGGACACATACAATATTCTCATGTATCAGAGACATGACAAATAGGAATGTCATAGATCATCTTTCTTTTTACAGGTAGTGGGATTCAGGTCTATAAATCCTGAAAACTCACCTGGAGAACAATGATCTTCTGTGGTTTCACTGTACCTGCCTGCTTTATAGAATTATTTACAGTAGCAATGTTTAAGCATTAATTGAATTTTTCATGTCTTTACAGAATTATAACTCTCTACTATTATGAATCACATATTGAGATATGCCTAGATGTTCTAAAGGAAATGAGCTAAGAAATTCAAGTATACTCAATAGATATATATTTCTGTTTATTTTTGAGCAGATACAGGCAGTTCTGTGCAGCCTCTAAAACTATCAACTGAAAATTGCTCTGGGTCACTGGGTTCATCTCCTAAAACACCAGTCCTTCAGCCAAAACGTTGAAATAAACACTATTCTATCTCCAGGCATATTTAAATAAATATATTTGTCACACCTCTGTTTGTGATCTCTACGATGTTTATGTATCTGAGTAAAGAATACAGAGACTGACAAAAATCATAGGTCTTTAGCAGTGTCAAAGATCAGTGAAGAACATGCTTGATTCTAGAAAGATTTAGCCCCAGATTTGAGTTTTGATACTCCTAATATATTATATGTAAAGCTCAAATTACTTGTAAAATAGTGAATTTCACAAGCTACGGTCTGAGTACGTAGTAGAAACATGTATGGAGATATTGGCATGATAGCTGGCACCTAAAAGAACCTTAGTAAATAGCAGCCTTATTATTATTGGTGAAATCATTTAGATTTCTGGCTTCTCTCTCTGTGTGCAAACAGTTGAATGAATGGTAAAAATCACTGTTTATCTCTTCTGTAAAGTTTTGATTAATGCAAAAGAGAATTCTGAGGCTAGTCTTTAACTGATATATTCGTGCTATGAATTTGTTTTCTGTGTTGAGGGGTACCTCAGGATAAAACATGGGTTTAGGACCCCATAAGACCCCATCTTAAAATGACGTATTTGTGCTATGAACTTGTTTTTCTGTGTCGAGGGGTACCTCAGTATAAAACATGGGCTTAGAACTATATAAGCTTGCTGCTCAAATAGCCCAGAAAGGTGGTCAATATCAAACTTTCCTGCAGGTTTCTGAAACAAACAAACAAAAAAACTGGATGTAGTCTCCATCTCCATCTTGCTTTATGTCCTTGGGAACTTGACTTTGCAACCACATGGCAGTACTTTCTCTTAGTCTCTGCCTTTCAGGGAACAGGAGTTTTAGGGTTTATGTAATAGTTAGCTCTAAAAATTACCTTGACTACTAAAAGCCTCTGAAAGCTCGAAATTTAACTAGTCTAGACTCCTCCTGGGAAAAGCAATGGAAGTTTCCATATGCTATAGCTCAGTAGCTAAGGTTTTGGTCTTTCACACTGGTGGTCTGGGTTCAATTCTATGCTTATGAAGTAAGTCCTTTCTGTTTTAATATATGCATTAACTTGTCTAGAGTCTTCTCCTCCATGGACTATGTTAAATTTTCCTTTCTCTGAGCACCTGGGAGTTTACCTTTGGTAACATTTAAAGGCAAGAATAATTGGCCATTTGGCCTGGCTAAAATTGGGTAATAAAGAAACTTAAAAGGACTTTATTAAAGAGAACTATGTTTAAAAGTCAGCTTAATTAAAAGTGGATATTCAAGCTTTAAGAACCTACACTCCTTGGGAAAAACAAGAGGCACTAGAGAAGACCCTTTTTCTACCCTGTTCTTCTGAAGGCTCCACCCTAAAGTCAATCACCAATGAATAAATTTAAAAATTGGCAAATTAAAACTCTTAAGAACTACTGTAGCACTCTTCCTCTGTCTGTCTGTCTGTGTAATTACATATGTGTTGTACATAATGTTTGTATAGAAGAATTCTAATTAATTGACATAAAAATAAATGCTTAAATCAAGTATTTTGAAAGCAAAATAAAAACTGTAATGACTTTTAATATATGCAACTTTAGTAATCTTTGGAAAATGAAAACAGTTTGAAAGATTATTGATAAAATAAAGACATTTTGACTAAATTAGGCAAGTCAGATATTAGGTTTGCTAAATGCTTTAAGGTCATAAACTGCTTTGACTTTTGAAAATTATTCAATTTATTTTGAAGACATTAAATTCTAAATAAGGCCTGGGGATATATGGAATTAGCTGTGACCCCCAGCTATGCAAAGAAGGTTATAGAGAAAATAGATTTTATATAAGAAATGAGGTTGCATGGTAAATTCTTGTCCCGAAGTAAAATGACTGGTTGTGTAAAAAGAGGAATATTTAGGAGAAGTCAGAAAGTCTAAACATGCCATTACATGGTCTATGTAAGTTGTGAAAGAATTTATTAAAACAAATTTATGCCAAAAATGTAAAATTAAAGGTGATTGGACCTCCTAAATGCTTCATAAAATGCTATTATGACTCTTAACTGTACAGCTTCCCTTCTTTACAGCTAGGTAAGGCCTGGGACACATGGAGTTAGATCCTGGAAAGACTCAGGCCTTATCTGAATTTCCGTCTGGGTCTAAGGCTCCACTACGTAGTTAAAATTACTTACTGACCAAGGCTTTCACCAAAAGTAAAAGTCGCTTAGAGTTGACATTTTATTATGTAATTGAGACTACTGAAAAACAAGTTTACAACAGTATTTGTAAGGAGAATAAAATGTGTTTTTGTAAGAGATTATAAAAAAGTATAGGAATGTAAATTTTTGACTAGGTTAGAGGGTTGAAGGATTGTTTACATAAAGCTAAAGGTTTGAATAAGTTGTGAAAACTTTATAGAAATTAATTATAAGAGATTCTATGTGTGAAAGTAGTGGCTAAAGTTAAGATGGCATTATTCAGGTTTTGTTCTCCATAAATTGGACATTGGAATAGAAACACAACAGAGTTTTCTTAGATCATTGCTCTGCTCTGAGGCAAAAGCAATGTAAAGGAATGTAAAAGATTTATAAAAATCTTACCTTATGGTCAAAACAATTAAAACTGAATAGATTTATTAAATGCTATTAAAAACTAATTTTAAAATACATTAATGGAAACATAAAATTTGTTTTTCTCTTTTCAAAAGGATTTTTATGTAATATTAAAAGATAATTAAATGTTTTTGTTTTTCTTCTAAGGAAATTACAGAAGAGAAAAGAGGCAGTAGGAAAGAAGGGAGACAGAGTCAGTTGCCCTCATGTTGTCTTCATTGGGTCTTGTTTGGAAAGCTGAGTCTCCTCTCTAACAGAATAGTTTTTTCCTTCAAAAATCTTTGAGTGATCATTTGAGCTAAATGAATGAATTATGTAACATAAGATTCTATTTAGTAATATCCAACTTTTTAAACTTTTGGTATTGAACAAACCTTTCAAAATCAAGTTCTGTATTATGATAAATCAGCCAACACTAAAATTGTTTAAATATACAATTTAAATGAACTCCATGGTCTAAGTCAAATTATTTATGATAACCCATTAAGTTATCAGTGCTATGCACCTATGCTGGATAAACAAGGGGTATTTAAGAAGACATACGTTCAGTGGTAATCATGAACTCATGAAGAACTGGCAATCCCATTACTGGGTATTTACCCAAAGGAATATAGATTATTCTACTATAAAGCACATGAATACGTGTGTTTATTGCAGTGCTGTTTACAATAGGAAAGACATGGAACCAACCCAAATGCCCATCAATGATAGACTAGATAAAAAATAATGTGGTACACAATGGTGTACTATGTAGCCATAAAAAGAAATGAGATCATGTCTTGCAGGGACATGGATGAAACTGGAAGCCATTATCCTCAGCTAACTAACACAGGAACAGAAAACCAAACACGGCATGTTTTCACTCATAAGTGGGAGTTGAACAAGGAGAACACATGGGCACAGGGAAAAGAACAACAAACAGTGGAACTTGTTGTGGGGTGGGGGCCGAGGGGAGGGAGAGCAACCAGGACAAATAGCTAATGCATCAGTTCAGCAAATGTGCTGGCTGAATGTGAGAGTAATCGGTGAGGGATCATGCTTCAGTGATCACATAAAAATATTCAGTCAAATCAGTAAGATATTGTAAAGTGAAGGATAATCTAACTTGTAAGGGATATTCAAACCAAAATCTTTCAACCAAGCATCTTGCTATTTTTCTCCCAGTTCAGCTACAGAAGAAAACCTTACCTGGTACTTGCAATATTATATGCAATAATAATAATGGTACATGTCTCTCAAGATAATCTAAAATTCTCAATATTGTAGTGAAATAAGGTAAAGTTGTAATTTCAGGGTGCTTTCTTCTTTATTTCTATTTAGTGTTGAAACATCTCATGGCTAAAGAGAGTAGATTATTCTTATCTCTCTTTTACAGTTCAACAATAAAACGGGCATTTATAAAGTGCTTATCATTTGTAAGCCAAAGCAATAAAAATACATATTTTCAAGGAAAATAAGCCCCACAGGACAATGACTTCTACATATACTAGCGTTTTACAAGACTTGATTCAAAATATCCTGACTCTGTATGTGGCATTTCTTTTAGTACCAACAGATTTTACTACTGATTACTAGAGTACATCTTTTTAATAATCTTTTTCATAGCATTTTTTACCTCTTGATTCCTCAAGCTATAGATCAATGGATTTAGCATGGGAATCACCACTGCATAGAATACTGAGGCAAATTTGTCTTTATCTAGTTCATGGCTTGACTTAGGCTGTAGGTACATAAAACTGAGGGTCCCATAATATATGGAAATAGAAAACACGTGAGAAGCGCAGGTAGAAAAGGCCTTCTGTCTTCCTGCAGCAGAGTGGATCCTTAGGATAGCAAAGACAATAAAAACATAGGAGATGAGAACAACGATAAGAGAACAAAAAACATTGAACCCAGCAATAATGAACAACATCAACGCCTTGACTTGTGTATCTGAACAAGCCAGAGCAATCAGAGGAACATCATCACAGTAGAACTGGTTAACCACATTAGAGTCACAAAAAGACATGCGGAATGTGGCCATTGCTTGTATGAGTCCCACAGTGAATCCATAAATATATGAGCTAGTGACCATTTGAATGCAGAGCCTCCTAGGCATGAGAACTACATAGAGTAAAGGTTTGCAGATGGCAACATACCGATCATACGCCATGACAGAGAGCAACAATAATTCCCAAACTGAAAATGTGATAAAGCAACACACTTGAGTGGCACATGCATAAAATGACATGCTTTTAATTTCACGCAAAGAGTTGACAAGGGTGTTTGGAGTGATAGCAGAGGTACCATAAAAATCCACAAAAGCCAGATGGCTAAGGAAAAAATACATTGGTGTGTGAAGCTGAGGACTGATTTGGATTAGCACAATTAAACCAAGATTACCCATAACAGTAACTAAGTAAATCAGTAAGAATACACCAAAGAGAATGACTTGAAGTTCCGGATTATCTGTGAGCCCTAGGAGGATGAAGTCAGTCACTGATGAATGATTGCCTTTTGCCATGTAATAGACACAAGATTCTTCTAAAATGAACTCCAGAGCACACCTTCTGAATAATCTTGATGCTATAAGAAATGATCAATTAAATGTGAGAAGATAGTCATGGCTTACCAGGATATTACATTAAATTTAATTACAGTTCTGATAAGTACTCTGAGTTATACATAAATTTTCCTTATCCTTTTTGAGTCACATAATTTGGTTCAGACAGAAATTCTAAGATATGTAATTCATTAAGGAGTTTAAAATAAAAGAATTTTAAATCAAATACTGTAATTAATACAAAAGTAAAATCTATGTTGTACCAAAAAAAAAAAAAACAACCACACACACACATTGCAATGCTAAGAATGTAATAGTGACAATATATATAAAATTATTTCTTAAATTATAAGTTTATTTTATGAAATTATACACAGATATATTTGTTCACAAGGATATCACAAATTAACAAATGAGGACAATCTAATATAAAGAGTTAAAATCAAAATATTAACACTATTTATCTTTTTGGACATCCAGGTTGGAGTAATTTTAAAATTTTATTTTTTTCCTTATCTCTGTTTTTTCTTTAATTGACATTTAATATTAATATTAAAGAATAACAGGATTTTTAAATATTCTGGCTTTGTCTTTCTGGAAGAGTGCACACCCATGAACAATTTTACAGATTATAAACAGCTTTAGCTGACTGAAAAACATGACTTAACTTCTGTCTTTAGATATCTAAATGGTCCAAAGTGTATAGCATTTGGGCAGCATTTTGAAGAGCTCAATTCTGCAGACCATTTTCTCAAACCCAAACTGGTCTCTGATGGCTTGAAAACTGGCAGAATTAAATTGCTCCTTGCATTTCTCAAGCAGAGCACAGGATAAGTTAACTCGATTTTCCTTCATAATTATATTGTCTCAGGTTGCTTTACATGTATCTTGCAGATCTTCAAGGCAGGTAAAATACTCTTTTCTGTCACTTTCACTTCTCAAACATCTTAGAGCAGGCCTCTACTTTATCAACTGTACTCATAACTTAACCAAGTGTAATTTGCCTTCCTTTCCCATTAAACCAGAACACCTCCTTACCAACTTCACTATTGAATTCACTATCCCCAAATCCAATCCAGCCTAGTTTTCTTTGGCAGAGTAACAGCACTGGAGTCTGTTAATACACCTTAGGTTTCCAAAACAAAGTAGTCTCTAGGTTGTTTATTTTGATTTGTACCTTGGAGGCTCTGCTTCTATTATATATGCTTTGTGTGACATGTACTTCAGATTCTAAACCCCTGTGCTCTCTTCTTTACACTTTTTTTGTTCAGTGATTTTATTCAAGCCTATGTCTCCAGTAAGCATCTATATTCTGGCTATGCACACATATATATTTCTATTTCAGATTTATTTTCTCTATTGGCATCTCTGCATGTTAAACCTAATATTCAAGACCTGGGGTATATACTTTCTGTAGGTGCATAGTGACATTATTCACTCAGTTTTCAAATCAGGGATCAATCATTTTTTACTATGCATTCCTGTTCTTTATGCCAATATTTCATTGTTTCCAGTTACTAACAATATTATATCTAACATGCTTTAAAAATCTGTTAACTTACATTTTTCTCTTGATGCAACAATAATTAGTTTTTTTTTTTTTGCTTTATTGTAACTGACAACTGACTCATATTCTTGCCCTCAGTCTTTCCTCCTTCTCTCTCTTCCTTACATCGCAGCTGAAATAAACTCTACAGATACAAACATTATTCCAATATTTTCCTGCTTAAATCTCTTAATGCCTTCTCCATTGCCCTTAAGATAAAGTCCTAGGCATCTTTTCTTTTTTTTTTTTTAATCTCTTTTTTTTTTTTTTTTTTTTTTTTAACATGGCTAACATAGTTCTTGAAAACCTAGGCCCTGGCCAGACACGGTGTCTCACACCTGTAATCCCAAAACTCTGGGAAGCCGAGGCGGGCAGACAACGAGGTCAAAAGATCGAGACCGTCCTGGCCAACATGGTGAAATCCCATCTCTACTAAAAAAAAATACAAAAACTAGCTGGTCATGTTGGTGCACACCTGTAGTTTCAGCTACTTGGGAGGCTGAGGCAGAGAATTGCTAGAACCTGGGAGGTGGAGCTAAGATCAAGCCACTGCACTCCAGCCTGGTGACAGAATGAGAGAAAGAAAGAAACAGAGAGAGAGAGAGAGAGGGAGGGAGGAAGGAAGGAAGGAAGGAAGGAAGGAAGGAAGGAAGGAAGGAAGGAAGGAAGGGAGAAAGCCTAGGCCATGAGTCTCAGACCACAGCATTCTGCATGTGGCCTTCACATTCCAGATATGATGAACTATCGCAGTTATTCAGACATGATCTACATATCTATATGGGTTTCCTTCTGTGCCCAGAACACTTTTCTTCCACTATTATTACCTATCCCTGATTTTTCTTCTACTTAACTTAAAATTATTCTGTTAAATAATTTCCTCCTAGAGGCTTTTATGACCTTCTAGGCCAAAATTGGTGCTTCTCATATACACTATTCTGCATCCACTAATTGCTTTAAGATAGCACTTATCACACTATATTGCAACCAACTGTTAACATTTCTGTAACACACCTTAAACTTGAAACTCTTCTTTTCAAGCAAGTTTTAATTCCTAAATTATACCCATCTTAATTACTTACCTCTAGTAGTATCTAGTATAAACAAATCATCAATAACTATCTGTTAAATGATTAAGCGAATAGAAGTAGTAGTCATATAAGTTTGATGCCTTTCCCACAACTCAGTTTGAGTTTTTTGTTTTTTCTACCTATTGTCTTTCTATATTCAAAATGCTGTCTTTCAGTTCAACAACAAATCTCCAAATAGTACATTGCACCTGAAAGCAACCTTTGTGAAACCACTATTTAAAATTACCTGGATGTGAGACAGCTCTGTATTATTTTTTTTTATGGTCCCTCTGGAAACTTTGTATTTATTGTTACTTTTGTTAAATAAACATTGCAAAACAACATAATGATGATTCAGTAACAGGCAATTATTTGATGTTTAATGTTTGGGGACAAAACTATTTCCCTTGAAATGGTAGAGTAGTCTTTCAGCTATTAGTCAATAAATGAGTGGGGAGTAGAGGAATATTTTAATGATCTCTTTTGGGAAAACAATTTGATTAATGGCTATATCTGCTTTGATTATTTCCTACACTTGCTTTAATTTTGTTACATCGTCTTTTGATTACAATTATGAATTCATTTAAAATAAATGTTGAGCTTGTGGGCCTCATACATAGCAGCAAATTTTATAAAGTTTTAGGTGAAAGGTAACTTTTCCAGTTAATAACACTTAAATCTGCCTTCTGAGATTAATATCACAACGTGTTGTTATAATTGGCATTGTAGTTCAACAGCAAGGATTAATTTTTAAAAAAAAATTTTGTTGTCCTCCCTAGGAGAGGAATGCATACAAACCACAGGTTAATTGGCACCTAGCTGTTGTCATTCAACAGAAATAGATGAACTCCTTCATCCAGAAGAATGTTTGCTAATAATAGCTGAAGCTTGTTCTAGAAATTCTCTAAGATGGCTCCTTAAAGTCTATATTGAAACATGTATGACATTATATGAAACAGACAACTAGAAATACTCTCACATAGTAATGAAGACACAGGAAGAAAATTGAGAAATGTAGGAGTGTGATGATGAATTTATTATGTAGAAATAAAAACTCCTTACCGGTCTTTGTTTTTAGGAAGTCACAGAAGACACTGTCTTTGCTTGGGCAATAAGGAATGCACTAGCATAGAGGGAACTGGTATGCTTTTCAGGGGCTCAGTAGTGGCTGTGCCTCTACTTTGGCTTGTATGAATGGAGTGGACCTACAGACCTGTGCTCTCTAATAACAGTAAGGGATGTTGTTATTCTGAAATGGCGATAACAAGGTGGATTAAATACTGGTATTGGGTTAAAATACTTTGTTAGGCTGTAACTGAGGTACTTAACCCAGTTTCTATGGTAATGGGTTATGGATCGTGGGTTATAGATGAATGGGCAGTTGATGTTGTTTAATAATTGTATGTAATTCTATAGTTGTAGGGGACACATAAAGCATAGCATGTTAAAATATTTTTTCCATTTGTGTATTTAGACAAAATACAGAGCTCGTGAAAAAAAAAAGCTAATAATACCAGTCACAATGAACATTTTTTTCCTTAGGATTTTTTCATAATTAAGTCCAAACATAGATTAAAGAGAACACATGCACACAGGCAGAGAACCATCATACACCGGGGCCTGTTGAGGAGTGGGGATATAGGGGAGGGATAGCAGGGGGTGGGTTTTAGGGGAGGGAAAGCATTAGGAGAAATACCTAATGCAGATGACAGGGTGATTGATGCAGTCAACCACCATGGCACATATATACCTATGTAACAAACCTGCACATTCTGCACATGTACCTCAGAACTTATAATAATAAAACTCTTTTATTGAAATGAGAACTGAATTTCCTTGAAGCAGGACCTTCCTAAACTACAGCATGTTAATGCAATAGCTCCTTTTCAGATTTTTTCCAAAGGAATATACCCAGTGCTTTGGATATGAACATAAGAGAATATTGGAAACTTAATACGCCATAATTAGGAATGCTGCTCTAGCTCATTTTTCAGGCACAGTAGATTAATTAGTCGAGTTAACAGCCCCAGTTAAAGGCTTCTTTGTAATCATGCTCTTTTTCTATAAATGTGTAATACTTCTGTATTCTGCCTCTGACCTCAGTCTTGTGACTTGTTTTTAGCTGATGTTTTGATAACAGACTTGACACAAATGTAGGCCTGAGAAAGGCGTAGTGTATTTCAACTTCCTGTCTTGCTCTTCTGCCTTTGCCAGGACCACAGATGCATGCTAACCTGTTGGCAGATGAGAAGTCATATGGTGCTAAAGTAGTTTTCACAGGTGGGGACATCTTAGGGCAGCTTGTTTCCAGGCAACACACAAGCTGAGTACAAACTCATGAGTGGATGCAGACAAGATTAGCCAAGCATAGTCCAGTACAGAAA